TCGCAGTAATAGTGGAAGAAGACAATTAATGCACTTGAACTGATAACAACAAGAAATCATAACAAATGGCAATAAGTGCACGGCATCACCTTTCGTGCTTTAACACTCTCTCACCAAAATAATACACGGCATCACCCTTCGTGCTTTACACTCTTCCTCACCCAAGCAACAATTACAAAGCAATTAGGGCAAGGGAATCAATGACATCACCATAAAGTCAAGTAACAACAGAAAATCAGTAAATTAAACGTAAAGAACAACACAACTCAATTATCATCAAGAGTCAGGGAAATCAAGGACAAGTGCACGGCATCACCCTTCGTGCTTTTACTCTCGTCCTCACCAAGCAATGATATAATAAAAACGTTCACGGCATCACCCTTCGTGCTTTTACTCTCTTTCCTTACCAAAGCAATTATATGATAAAATGTGCACGGCATTACCCTTCGTGCTTTTACTCTCTTTCCTCACAATAACAAACAATGCACGGCATCACCCTTCGTGCTTTAACACTCTTCCTCATCCAAATAATAATCACAAACAAGGGGCAAGGGAATAAACAAAATAATAATAGAAATCCCGACAAGGGAACACAATTAACCAATTAAATCCCGGCAAGGGTACAACATTAACAATCTCAACATCCCGGCAAGGGAGATAATTTATTAACTCTTTCTCTTTCTTTCACTTTTATTTCATAACTCACTTTACCACTTGAGCCAATGCTCCAAAGGGTTCAATCATCTCATATACTTTCACAATTAATAATATAACTCGAGCCAATGCTCCATGATGTTCAAAGGTCTCAATTCCTTCCACAAACTTTTCACAACAACTAGAAGTCATCACCAAAGCATGAAGAATACAATGAAATTAAGATATTCACAATATAAGGACTCATGGTCATGCTAGACACCAACGTATAGATACTCGTCACCATGCCTATACGTCGTACACGACAAATACCACATAGCAAATAGGACTCAACTCCTAGTCCCTCAAGCTAAGGTTAGACCAAACACTTACCTCGATGCCTTGAACATAATTGAAGTCTCAATTATAGCTTTACCCCTTGATTCCACCGCCAATTCGTTCGTATCTAATCACAAATTACCTAATTACATCAATAAACGCTAAATGAATCAACCCCAATGCATGAAAATGAGTTTTCCAAAGTTTTACCCAAAAGTCAAAAATCGCCCCCGGGCCCACGTGGTCAAAACCCGAGGTTCGAACTAAAACCCGATTACCCATTCCCCCACGAACTCAAATACATAATTTGTTTTGAAATCGGACCTCAAATTGAGGTCCAAATCCCCAATTTTTGAGAAACCTAGGTTCTACCCAAAACACTCAATTTCCCCCATTAAAATCTTTGATTTTAAGTTGAAATCATGTTAAAAGATGTTAATGATTGAAGGAAATGAGTAAAAACTAACTTACAATCAATTTGGAAGAAGACTTGTTCTTGAAAAATCGCCCAAAGGAGTTTGTGTTTGAAAAAGATGTGAAAAATGACTTAAAATCGGCTAAGTATAGAAAAATGCAGGTCTCAATTATGGGAAATGCGAACAGGGGTTCGCAATTGCGAACCCCAACCTCTGCAGATATGGGAATTGCGAAACTATGTTCGCATTTGCGAACTCTTAGGTTTACGCATTTGCGAACAAATAGTCGCATTTGCGACTTCAAGCCATCCCGGCGTACATCGCATTTGCGAAGGGCGTCCTCGCATTTGCGATATAGAGGTATTCAGCGGGCGTCGCATTTGCGACATAGACTTCGCATTTGCGAAGGAAGTTGCCCAGGTCACCTCTCGCTTTTCCGATAGGAGGCTCGCAATTGCGATCTCGCATTTGCGAGAAAGGCTTCGCAATGCAGGTCTGAAACACCAGCAAATTTTTTAAAGTTAAAAAATGCACCCGTGGCCTATCCAGAACTCACCCGAGCCCTCGGGGCTCCAAATCAAATCTACAAACAACCTCAAAAATATCCTACGGACTTACCCGCGCGATCAAATCGCCAAAATAGCATCATAAACATCGGATTAAACCTCAAAATCCATGAATTCTTTCAAACTTCATAAAACATCAAATTTTCCAATTTAGGTCCGAATCACGTCAAATGATATGCGTTTTTCATCAAATTTTACAGGAACATCTTAAATCATATATAAAATCTGTACCGGGCGCCGGAACCAAAATACGGGGCCGATACTAACATGTTCTAATCAAATTTCATTTCAAATTTCCTTAAACAATTTCAGAAAATAATTTCTTTCAAAAATTTATTTCTCGGGCTTGGGACCTCGAAATTCGATTCTGGGCATATGCCCAAGTCCCATATTTTTCTACGGACCCTCCGGGACCGTCAAATCACGGGTCCGGGTCCATTTACCCAAAATATTGACCAAGGTCAAATTAATTCATTTTTATAGATCAAAACTTATCATTTTTCACACAGTTTCTCATTTAAGCTTTCCGGCTACGCGTCCGGACTGCGCACGCAAATCGAAGCGACTCTAAATGAGGTTTTGAAGGCCTCGGAGACACAGAATTCAATTAAAAATAGATGATGACCCTTTGGGTCGTCACATCTCCCATCGAAAGGTGAGCTCACAAGGCCCATTCCTGGAGTATCAAAGAGTGTAAGTGATAAGGGTGATTGGAGTCATTGGTCACTCCACTGCTTTTGGATCCAGAGATAGAGATATATGTTGTTGCTTCTGTACCAGTCATGATTGAATCCACAGATGGATAAGAGAAGGAAAATTTGATAAAAAGTTGAGCTGATTTCCTAATGGATCGAGCTAAATCTGCTCTGATACCATGAAAGAAAAGGCAGAAATTGTGAAAATTTTCTGTATGTATTTTTATTCACTGTAGCTTGTCTTTTATACAAATCTATGTATAGATACAAAAGAATGTAAATAAAATATTCCTATACACTTGTACTATTTCCTATTGGCTAAAATCTAACTAACTAACAGAAATATTCTTTACAATGTGTGATTCACGTGTAAACAATTCTAGACCGTTCTCATCTGAAAATGAGAAATATCAAATTGGATGGCTGTGATTGATTCCTCTCTTATCAAATCAACATCCCAAATGAAGTTAGATGAATTAGCATCAATGCTAATGATTTGGACACGTGTCTCTCTTCAAATAAGATTAGTGTCTCATATATCTTCAGACATAAGCTCAAACAAAACCATGGAGAGTCCGAAATTTCTTTTCACTTCTTCTCCTCTCTTACTTCTTCTTCTCTCTTGTTTCTTCATTATTCTGTGAAGCATCCGTTGAATCAACATAGGGGTTCTTATCTTCAACAATAAGTATGCCAACTTGAAACCAACAAAAGAAAGGGGAAAAAACTACTAACACAATACAACATTCTAAATTACTTGGTAAAACAAAAAAAATATTTGATCATTGACGTGCAAAAAAGTTACAATTGAAGTCATCCCAAACTTTATACAAGATTATTAAGGTGATGCCTTGTGGTATCTTTTCTAACCTATCCAAAAATATAAAACAGTTGAACCCATTTCTCTAATTTCACCTCTGATTAAAATCACCTTTAGAGTTGGACAAAAAAGTATGAATAGTAAATTATTATTTCATAAACTAAAACATCTGTATATGGCGTATTTCCTTATTAATTCTTGCTGGAAGGGGGTTCAAACCGAACTGGAAAGCTGTACCAAACCAAAAAGTTAAATCAAACCAATTAAAAAACTCGATTATGTTTCGTTTAATTTGGTTTGGTATTGAGTAAAGAGAACTCGAACCAAACCGATACAAAATATATTATTTTTATATACATTTTTAAGATTTTATATAAAATTTTCTTTAAAAAATGCCTAGAAATATTTGCGATCCTCTCATGGTTAATATTTAATAGAACTATGAAGTGCATTCATTTTTATTTACTTTAAATAATGGTTTGTATCACTTTCTTATCAGGTGTTGTTGAAATGCATCAATCATCTCTTTGTTTTTTATATTCATATGTCAAGATTTCTTATATCCTTTTAAAAAATTTATGGTATTTCAATAATTTAAAATTAAATAGAACATATCAATATTTAGGTATCAAATTGATTTTAATATTTAATTATTAAATTCGTTTAAACTTGAAAGCGTACATCAACAAAAAATGTTGTTAGACGACTATGAAAATAACAATCACGTGTTACTAAAAACATTCTCCCTTAAGAATATTTTAATAGATCATACGTTTGTCGATNTGGTGATAATATTTTAATAGATCATACGTTTGTCGATTTTTTTAATTTTTACTGAACATATATTCATTCATCAAAATTTTATCTATAACTTTAACAAAGTAAGAATGAAATAATATTCATGTAATAAAAAGAAACCAAAAAACCCGTAAAATTCGACAAAACTGAACCAATCCAAACCGATATAGTTGTTTTGGTTTGGTTTTGATAAAAATCGAACTATCACTAACAAAAAATGCTATTTTCGGACTACAGATTCCGATTACCAAATAGTAGTCATAATTTTTCGACTATAGTAGTCGGAAAAGTATAATTTATTTTTTTTATTTTTTTTAAATTGTAGGCGACTGCTATTTCGATTGTAGTAGTCGTAAAATTTTGCGCAAAATACCGCGAAAAAAATAAAAAGAAATTTTCGACTACAGTAGTCGGAAAAATATAAAATAATTTTCCCACAATTTTAATTAAAAAATCGACTAAAGCTGCTGCCCACTGTAATCGAAAAATAAACGAATTGTTATTCTCCTTGCTTATGAAATTGTACTTCCAATGGTTTTAACTTTGCGAGGAATATTGCTTTTTGAGCTTAATTTGCATACACTGACAATGCAAAACAAGACACATTAGGTGTTACAATAAGGGGGAATAAGAGAAGTAAAACTATTTAAAGAAAATGAGTGTTATGGTCCCATTTCAGAAATATATAGGAATGAAAGTTTACCGAGACTTTAGGTGAACGGATGAAGCAATAAATCTGATTCCAAGCAATCATTTCAATCTCCATGTTCCATTTCCATAGCTGCGACGGGCCTCCAATCCTCCAACCCAATTCTTTTTAGGTATTTATTCAAAAAGTTTATGTTTTATGCACTAATTTTACTTTTTCTTGATTACCAACTCATACGCATTACTCCTATAAACTTTAGATTGTTTCTTTCATGTAATAACTTCTATTTTAAAATGTTGATATGAAATTTACCTACATATTTATTTGGTGTCACTTTTTATTCTACGTTCACTCGTACAAGTCATCTTGATTTTGTAGAAGACTGAAAGAGTGCAAAGGTTGATAATTAAAGAAAGTTGGCATTGCTGGTTTATCCTCCATTTCGACTTTTATTTTTTGGTTTCGTCCTTGCTGCGACAGGTATATATATATTGTTGAATTTTTCATAGTACTAAGTGCACTTTCTCCGAATATTATTATTGTTGCAAATTTAACTAGTCAATTGGACATGTGAGACTTCTCTTGTTGAATTTTGATTCCGCTATAAACTAGTAGATCTGCTTTTGAATGTAATCAATCTAATTTTTGTTGTGAAATCTAATATTTATAGAGTCATTCGTAGTTAAATGTTGAAGGTATTACAATCATTCAAAGTAGGAACCTTTAGAAGAATATCTCAATAGTTTTTTCTTGACAAGTATATGAATTCTTGACTAGATTTTCCAGGAAAAGTCTTTTCTTCTATTTTAGAAACATATGACACCATCTAGTCAGTTTTCATTGCTGAAGCGTGAGCATTTCCAGGATGCCTAATATGTTCCTTCATTTTTCCTCTTTGACATTTCGCAAAAGTTCATTTGATTGCAGTGCAAAGCTATCCGCATAGGGAAGAAGATTTGTAAGGGGGAAAAAGTAAGTTTCAGTCATCCTGTGTGTTTTTGTCTTCCTTACTTCTGCTTTTGTCAATGGATTCTTGAATTGTCATCACGAATAAATAGTTATTTCTTATACATCTGATATGTTGAAGATTTGCTTTATGTTTTTTACAATGGTTATAGTGCGTAGATGATATCTGGGGTAGCGATCGTCTACGCCGTAAGGGTAAGGGGACTTAATTAAAATCTCCAACTACTGGTCACTTTCCTCCACATATGGGGCCTCCTCCTACTTTTCCTCCTCAGTCAACTTCGTTGCCACCTTTATTTTTTATGCCCCACCTGGGCCTGTCCATATTTCCGTATCTTCAGTTGGCACGAAATCTGGCTCTAACCTTAATTTTATTCCCACACCAAATGTAACTTCTTCTCCCGGTTTTCATATTAGTCAAAAAGATAGCTCTTCAGCACTGCCTACTTCATCAACTCCAGTATCTCCGACATCAAGCACACCTAGAGACTCTACAACATCACCATCCATTGGTAGTGCTACACCAGTAGCTTCTCGGGGTCGACGTGGTAAAGAGACTCTACAATATGATGCATATAGTAGGCTGATTATCGTTCCGGATGAGCAAGATGGGTAAGTAATTTTTATATTGATATTTATTCTCTTGAATATACATTTTACATATGTTAATTTTAATGCAGGTTTTTCCTGTATTTACTGCCCCGCATATGGTTACAGAGTCTATGAAGCCACTTTACGATGAAGCTTGGGGTAGATGGAAAGACATCCATATCATACCAGAGATAGAATGTGGAATCAGTTTAGGGTACGTATAAACCTTATTTTTAAATTATATATCCAATTTCACTCTACTTTATTTAATTATTTTTCAGACTAAGTGTGTGTGGGAGAAACGATATGACAATGAAATAAAATATGTCTTCGAGAAGAAAGCAAAAAAGTTGATTACAAGTTCATTGTATGAAGCTCGAGTAAGGAAGGAGCAGCCTGGTTGGATAAGAGATGATGTGTGGAATTGTTTTTTAGCAATATGGGATCGAGTTGAATTTAAGACGAAGAGCGAACAAGAAAAGAAAGCCCGAGCCTCTCAAAAGGGTGGTGTGTGTGTGTGTGTATATATATATATATATATATATATATATATATATATATATATATATATATATGTTCAGACTTTGTTATATTAGTGTTGATATGTATTAGCTACTCAGACTTGATATTGAATATTTAGACTTTAACTAATGTTTTGGTTTGATATTATGGGATTTGAATGTTTGTTTGTTGAAGTTGGAATTGGTTGGTTTGATTATTAGATTGTTTAGATGGAATTGGTTGTGTAGTTGAAATTGATTGGTTGAGTTGGTCGTTTAGTTGGAATTGGTTGTTTATAATATTTGCATTTCACAGGTGGCGTGCTAATAATGGCAGCATTATGTCAAATTTCAACCCAATTTTTCAACTACTGTAGTCGAAAATGTGCCCAGCATAATAATTTTTTGACTACAGTAGTCGGAATAATAATTATTATTTGTATAATATCCCCACTACAGAAGTCGGAAATAATTTTTAAATTAAATAATAGTTTTTTTATTTTCCGACTACTTCAGTCGGAAAATAGCTGCCTTTTTAAATTTTGGCGGAAAATATTTTACGACTACAGCAGTCGGAAATTTCCGACTACAGTAGTCGGAAAATATTTTCCGACCTATCTTTTTCCGACTACTCTAAATCAGTCAGAAAGTAGTCGGAATATGTACTTTTCCGACTACTTTCCGACTATTTTGGTAGTCAGAAAATAGCGAATTTCTAGAACTATAAGTGCATTTAATAGAACTGTGAAGTGCATTCATTTTTATTTACTTTAAATAATGGTTTGTATCACTTTCTTATCAAGTGTTATTGAAATGCATCAATCATGTGACGACCCAAAGGGTCATCGCCTATTTTCTTACACATTCTATGCTTCCGAGGCCTTGAAAACCTCATTTATAGTCGTCTCATTTTGCGTGCGCAGTCCGGGCGCGTAGCCGGAAAGCTTAAATATTAAATTCTGTGAAATATGCTAAATTTTGGTGTTAAAATGAATAAATTTGACTTCGGTCAATATTTTGGGTAAATGGACCCGGACCCGTAATTTGACGGTCCCGGAGGGTCCGTAGGAAAATATGGGACTTGGGCGTATGCCCGGAATCGAATTCCGAGGTCCCAAGCCCGAGAAATAAATTTTTGAGTAAAAATTATTTTCTGCAAATATTTAAGGAAATTGGAAATGTAATTTGATTAGAACGTGATGGTATCAGGCCCGTAATTTGGTTCCGGCGCCCGGTACAGGTCTTATATATGGTTTAAGCACTTCCTGTAAAGTTCGGTTGAAAACGGACGTCGTTTGACGTGTTTCGGACTTAAAATGGAAAGTTTGATGTTTTATGAAATTTGGAAGAAATCATGGATTTTGAGGCTTAATTTGTTGTTTATGATGTTATATTAGCGATTTGATCGCACGAATAAGTCCGTAGGATATTTTTGAGGTTGTGTGTATGTTTGGTTTGGAGCCCCGAGGGTTCGGGTGAGTTTTGGATAGGCCACGGATGCATTTTTAAACTTTGAGAAAAATCTAGCATTTCAGTTCTGCAATCTTCGCATTTGCGAAGAAGGTCTCGCAAATGCGAGCTTGCAAATGCGAGCCTGTGATCGCAAATGCGAGAAGGGGGAATCCTGCATTGGGTCGCAAATGTGACCATCTGGTTCGCAAATGCGATGTTGAGCTAGTCGCAAATGCGACATTTTGGCTCGCAAATGCGAAGCCTGGTATTTCGCAAATGCGACATCATTGTCGCAAATGCGATGCCCTCATTTTTGTTCAGTGTTCGCAAATGCGAACCAAACTTCGCAATTCCCATAACAGGTCGAACCCCAGTTCGCATTTTCCACATCTGCAACCTGCATTTTTCATACTTAGTCGATTTTAAGACACTTTTCACCCCATTTTCAAAACACAACTCCTTTGGGCGATTTTTCAAGAACCAACCTTCTTCCAAATCATTTGTAAGTTGATTTTTACTCGTTTCTTTCAATCATTAACATCATTTAACATGTTTTCAACTTGAAATCAAAGATTTTTATGGGAGAAATTGGGGGTTTTGGGTAGAACCTAGGTTTTTCTAAAATTGGGGATTTGGACCTCAATTTGAGGTCCGATTTCAAAACAAATCACATATTTGGGTTCATGGGGGAATGGGGTAGCCGGGTTTTGGTTCCAACCTCGGGTTTTGACCACGTGGGCCCGGGGGCGATTTTGGAATTTTTGGGAAAAACTTTGGAAAATTCATTTTTATGCATTCAAATTGATTCATATAGTGTTTATTAATGTAATTAAGTAATTTGTGATTAGATACGAGCGAATTGGTGGCGGAATCGAGGGGTAAAGCCATAATTGAGACTTGAGTTGAATTCAAAGCATCGAGGTAAGTGTTCGGTTTAACCTTAGCTTGAGGGATTAGGAGTTGAGTCATATTTGTTATGTGTTTCCTGTGGAGTATGGCGTATAGGCATGGTGACGAGTATCTATATGCCGGTGTCGAGCATGACCGTGAGTCTTAAATTGACATTTATTGCGTTCTCGAATGATACTACGGATGAAACAGTGAATAGACTTGTGTTGTTGAGCAAGGTTTAGCTTATTTTTTGTGAAAGTTGATTTTGAGTTAGAAATGGTGATAATAGAAATGCTAAATTCGAATTGAGATTGGTTATAGCTGGTTCTCCCTTGCCGGGATGAGTATACTTGTACTGTTGAGTTCCCTTGCCGGGATATAGTATTTTATGATTGATCCTCTATCGAGGTTTGTGGTTATGATTATGATAAGCTTTGCATATTTGGAACGGGTTGCGCGCCGCAACATAATCTATAGTGGATCGGGTTGCACGCCGCAACATAAATTTGATTGGATCGGGTTGCACGCCGCAACGGGTATATGTTATAAATATTGGATCGGGTTGCGCGCCGCAACAATTATAGTTAAACATATGGATCGGGTTGCACGACACAACAGTTGTAGTTAAAGTACAGATCGGGTTGCGCGCCGCAATAGTAGTGCTATCATATGGTTTTAGATATTGTACTGTTCCTTCAGGTGTTATTCAATTTCTGCTAAGTTGAACTGTTTCCCCGAGGCATGTACCCCCTCCCTTATAACTGCTCATTACTTGTTTATTTTCTGCAATATATTATATAACTGCACAGATTTGTCTGGAGTCTGGTACTAGCCCCGTCACTACCTCGCCGGGGTTAGGCCAGACACTTACCAGCACATGGGGTCGGTTGTGATGATGCTACACTCTGTGCTCTTTTGCACAGATCCAGGTGTTGGGCAGCAGCTGCAGTAGCGCGGGAGTTAGCTTCAGTTCAACGAGACACTGAGGTAGCCTTGCAGGCGTCCGCAGGCCCGGCGTCTCTTCTATCTTTTATTTCAGTCTGTTATCTCGTGTATTTCGAGACAAACAGTTATAATTTTCTTTCAAACGGTTGTATTTAGCACTCCTAGTAGTTCGTGAGTATGTGACATCAGTTCTTGGGTAGAGGTTTATGTTGAGTTTCCGCATGTTGTTCAGATTCTTTAATTTAAGACTTCCACTTATTTACTTTATTCCGATGTTTCCATGATATTACTGATAATTGTTAAAACAAGTAAATTGATTAATGTTAAAGGTCGTTAAGGGTTGGCTTGCCTAGCTCTCATCTGTAGGCACCATCACGACTCGAGGGTGGGAAATCCGGGTCGTGACAAGTTGGTATCAGAGCTCTAGCTTGCATAGGTCTCACTACTCACGGACAAGCTTAGTAGAGTCTGAGGGATCGGTACGGAGACGTCTGTATTTATCCCCCAGAGGCTAGCGAGTTAGAAAAAGTTTCACATTTGTTCTTTCTTGTCGTGCGGTTTGGTTTCTCAACGCTAATTGAATTTCTACTCTGTTCTTTCGCAGATGGCGAGAACACGCGCTTCCTCATCTTCTTATCAGCAGTCCGAGCCCCAGGCAGCTCCCATGTGGGGCAGAGGGCGAGGCCGAGGCCGTGCTAGAAGCCGAGGCAGGCGCGGGGCTCAGCCCCGAGCAGCAGCACCAGTGGCGGAGCCTTAGGTTGACTTTGATGAGGAGGTTCCGGCCCCAGCCCCAGCCCCAGCAGTTCTGGTGTGCCCAACTCAGGTCCCAGAGGGGTTTATTACTACCCCAGTTCTTCAGGACGCTCTGGTCCGATTGGTGGGTCTCATGGAGAGTGTTACCCGAGCAGGCTTGCTTCCTGTAGCACCAGCCGTCTCTCAGGCTGGAGGAGGGGTCCAGACTCCTGCTACTCGTACTCCGGAGTAGGTAGCTTCCCCGATTCATACTCCAGCAGTTTAGCCAGTTGGAGCAGCTTAACCGGGTATGGTAGCCCAGGCCGGTGATGGGGCAGCTATGTCTGCCGATGCTTTATGGAGGTTGGATAGGTTCACCAAGCTCTTCACTACTACTTTCAGCGGTGCATCTACCGAGGATCCTCAGGATTATTTGGACAGCTGCCACGAGGTTTTTCGGAACATGGGTATTGTTGAGACCAATGGGGTTGATTTCGCTACATTCCGGTTGTCTGGATCCACCAAGACTTGGTGGAGGGATTATTGTTTAGCTAGACCAGCAGGATCTCCAGCCTTGACCTGGGAGCAGTTCACACATCTATTTCTGGAGAAGTTTCTCCCTATTACACAGCGAGAGGCCTATCGGAGGCAGTTCGAGCGTCTCCAGCAGGGATCCATGACAGTCACCCAGTACGAGACCAGGTTTATTGATTTGGCTCGCCATGCTCTTGTTATACTTCCCACTGGGAGGGAGAGAGTGAGACGGTTTATTGATGGACTCATTCAGCCTATTCGTCTCCAGATGGCTAGAGAGGCTGGGAGCGAGATACCCTTTCAGGAGGCGGCCAATGTGGCCTGGAGGATTGAGATGGTATTGTCACAGGGGGTGGTCATAGGGCAGATAAGAGACCCCATCAGTCAGGCCGATTCAGTGGTGCCTCATCTGGAGGCAGAGATTCGTATGATAGGGGTCATCCTCTTAGGCCCTTCCAGTCAGCGCTTCAGGTTTCCATGGTGCATCAGGTGATCGTGGTTTTCGTGGGCAGTATTCTGACCAGCAGTCCTACAGTGCACCATCAGCTCCTA